GATAAATACATGAATAAACTTCTCAGACATTATCGTAAGGTTCCATTCACTAGAGAGATAGAGAAAGAATACGCTGTTATCAATATCAATCCGTCTATAATTCCTACATTCTTCCCGGCTTTAAGAATATTTGATTATAATACAACCGAGCTGACAAATGAAGATTATGAAGTCAATTTAGCGGAAAAATCTAAAAAAGATTATTTAAATTCCCCTGCACACGTAAACACATTTTTGACGCCCTTGGGTTATACACAATATTTCATGAATCTCACTCATGCGAATTTATATCCAAACATTACACCAGAATACATAATCGAATATACGACATGGAATGACTATAACATGAACGATTTAACAGTTCCAAGTTGGATTCAACTAGCACGAAGAATTGTAAATCATGGATTCAGGAGTAGTTTATGGAAAAGAATTCAAGATCATTTAATGGTAGGAACGAGATCCCTGATTAGAGAAAAGAATAAGAGACATTATCAAAATGTAGATTCAAATGATCGTGCAAAAGGTCCAGAAGATTATATAATTTCGGAACTTTCATTTTAATATTATTTTTTTTTATTTTTATCTTTATTATTATTATTTATTTTTCATTTATTTATTTATTTTCATCATATTTTTTGTACCTTCATAAAATAGCGAGCCGTTTTATTTGTAAATTTTAATTAATCATAGACACATTGCATTTTCATTAGAAATTTATCCAATATAGAAAGAAATCAAAAAAATATGTATTATTTCTCTTTTAAGATTCACCTTTAGAATAAAGGATTGTGTATTTTATAGAAATTTTAGAAACTTTACATAATAATTGATCTGAAAACTTAGTTTTTTTTTTTTGATTGGTTATCCAATTAAAATTATGGAGATAGCAAAATCTTTTTTCTGTATCTGGACGAGGTCTAATCTTTAATCGTTTACTGTTTAAAAAAATAAAAAAAAATTAATATACTGTATATATATTCTCTCGCGTGCAATTCCTTGCTATTGTTGACCCCTTTTTTTATTTATAAATTAGTTGTCGGTGACGCGTTATGCGTTATGAAACATACTAACTATACTGGAGCATCATGGGATCTTAAGATGACGATATGCTGTAAGTAATCTCATATGGACATTTCAATTTGAATACAAGCGACAATTCGAAATATAGAAAATGGGTAGAACAGAAATTTTGTATAACTTTGAATGTTGTGTCGGATGACATCACCTCAACTCATCCTGATGGACTGTTTAATTTGTTATGGTGACTAAACTAGAATGTGTATTTGTGATATACACTCCCCGGTCAAAAGTATTGGACCAAAAAAAAAGTTATCGCAACTTTTAAATTTATGACTAATTTTAATT